GCACCGCATGTTTTCTTCAAATTAAAAAAGTAAAAGTAAAGTTGTAGTTGTATCCAGGAGTGGGATGAATAAAACCTACAATCTACACTCACACACTCTGAGCCCAGTGACAGACACATCTCTAATTGTTTCAAGGAAGGAAGCATACATAATGTACTCTGTACAAGAAATTGTCAGCCGCGCTGCCGCTAAATTTAACGACTGGAATTAATCAAAACAATTCCTATGCAATATCTCTTCGCAACGCTAGTGAATCGAGCCGCGAGGATCGTAAGGAACTCGGTCTTCCACAATTCGAAGCACTTTGCGCTGGTCAAGTGGAAATAGCTGACACAGGGTTTTGCGACCTAGAGATGAGAATTGAGGACAGTATTCCATATGAAGTTGCAAGCGGTGTACCAGCATGAAATACTGTCGCACTCTAAAAAGCTTAGCGTACTCAACAGCTGCTAATTTAGCCATCCCTTCCAATCGACTGCGCAACTGTGCGTCATTAGATATATCGACGCTAAAGACAAAGGTACTCTGTGGCTAGATTCTGATGCTGGCTGAGGCAGCAAGAGGAGTGCCCTAAAATTGAGAATATACGACAAAAGGGTTCTTTTTGGCGGTATTAAGTTATCAGGAGGATGCTGTAACGTATCTACTGATTTAGATTCCCTACACTATACTATTCACCGCCACAGAACGGTAATGTAATAAATATTATATATTATTGTCTTATGAAATAAATTACACAAGTTGTAGTAAGATAGTAGTCATGGAGCGTAGAGGTAACGGGAACCGTCTCTGTATTAAAAAGTGTCCGTAGGAAAGCGCTATAAGGCTATAAGCTATAAAGCTTTATAAGGGTGGCGCCACTGTAGCTAGAGGGTAAATTTTAAAGATTTTTTATAACTTTTTATCGCACAGACTATCACCATAATTCTTCTTTCTAATAATTATTTTCAAAATCACTCAACACGTTTGACGACGACATTTTCTAAGTTATATTTACTAAATTATTTAGACAACGTGAGTAGTTGAGGTTTTAAATACTGCTGTTTAATCAGCTACTCTAGTCACCACAAATATTAAATTCCTCAACTGAGCACACTTCACTCCGTCGATAACTGCTAAGTTCATTTCATACCCTCTAGCTACTCCAGCACTGTTGTGGATTTGAGATGGTTCTCCTTACCTCTACACTGCATGACAGTAGTTAATAAGATGCTTATCTTGATATAATGCAATTAATTAAACTCTCAGCCCAAACTCTCAGCTAAGATTCTACATATTTATTGAATCTTCATTACGAAGTTTTAAAAGTTGTCTGAGAGCCACATTCACAATCACTTAACACCAAGTTTTCGTACCTAACACTTAAAGTACGGACAGACGTGCTTATTACTAGCACAAAAGCATGCTTTTATTGAGCAAGTGCTCATTAATAGCACGTGTGTCGCAACATTGCTAGTATAGAGCATGCTTATATTGAGCACGTCTGTACGTACCATTATGCTTCCTTTGGGAAAATAAAAAAGTTTATATTATATCAATTCATTTATTTGATATTACCAGTACAGAACTATTTAACCAATTTAAAATGCAATGTTTATTACATAGTATATCACTTTGAACAATTATGTTCACGGCCCTTTTTTACAAAATATAATGATTATAAAAGCCTGATGATAAATTAGACAAAATTTAAATTAATTATAAAATTAGAGTATTTCTATTTTTCAGTTGGTGTGTGTGCGTGTTAGTGGATTAAATGTCAAAGTTACTTCATTACTCATGTTGTGCTAATTTTAAGAATTCACTGATACGAGTGCGGCAGTGTATAATTTTTTTGGACCACAAAAACTGCAATGAAGAGCATTATTACAAAAACAAAATGGATATTTACATGTTTTCTTTACATTCAACTAAGATGTGCACTCTCTCATTAAAAGGCAATAGATAATGACAAGTTCACATTCATTTTATAATAATAATAATAATAATAATGTATTATACTGACCTGGATTTAATAATATCTTAATAGAAATAAAATTAAAACGTTAGGCATTGCATTGTATAAATAAAATCAATATGAATGTAACCAATAATGTTACAAGATGTTATATAGGTTAACTATAAACGCTTTACTATGGAAAATGTAACTACTGACATTTATACAGTAAAACTTAAGTATAGAAAAATATAGAATAAACAAATATATAGAATACCTTGCTCTACACCATGGAGTACAGATGTAAGGAGAACCAACTTATATACATCTGTATACAGTAAATAACAGTTCAAAAACTCGCCGCAACAGCGCTGCAGTAGCTAGAGGGTATGAAATGAACTTAGAAGTTGTCGACGGAGTGAAATGTGCTGATTAGAGGAATTTAATATTTGTGGTGACTAAAGTAGTTGAAGAAAATGCAGTGTCTAAAACCTCAACTACTCATGTGATATCCCCGTAAACACGTTGAGTGATTTTGAAAATTAAAAATTTTGAAAACAAAATAGTTATTATAAAAAGAATTATGGTGAGTCTATGCAATAAAATGTTATAAAAAGTTCATTAAAATTTACCCTCTAGCTACAGTGGCGCCATTATTTAACGCTTTTCTACAGTCTGTTCTCCTAACCTCTACACTACATATTCCACACATCCAATTTTTTTAAAGGTTTAATTTTCCTCTACATCTTCAGCTAGAGTTGCCAACTTTTTATATAAAATATAGTATTTTCAAGGCAAATAACCGTAAAAATATTAATATTTACAGTAAGGTTACAGACAAAGTAATAATTTATTTTTAAAGAAATATTTTTGCTGCTTTGAACCCATATTAACAATCTCATACCATAGTCAACTTTTATAAAAATATAGTATTCGACGCCCACTAATTTAAAGTATGGTTTGTAACCCTTACTACAGAAACCTAGTTCATACTGTCACAAAAAGCTCATCTTGGAAGGTAGATCTGGCGCAAGGAGCGCAAGTAGTCAGCGCTACGAAAATGTCACCGTCAGTAAGTTAATGTTAACTGATAATTGCCTTAAAGCTTTTCAAATAAACCCGTTTTACAACTAAACATAAAAATGTAACAGAGTTAAACTACTTCATTTCAAATGTATTTTTATACAAAACGTATTACTTCATAGTTTTACTGCGTACAGTAAGGTGGTTAGGATTATTTGCCAGCTTCAATCAACCCTGACCACTATGCTATATTATTATGCATACACTATGTGAACAGGAGTTTTCTAGACTAAGAGTGAGCTCCATTTTATATTAAGGTGATACCTCGAAAATTTGGTGGATTATTAACCAAATAGGTAATTATTTTTGACTATATGTCATTGGATTGCATAAAGAGAAAACATGATATCTAATTTTCTCGATAGAAAAAAAAACTGTAATGTAGGCTCTAATTAGTTACATTTCTCTATCCTACTACAATATTTTTACGAATAAGTCTATGGAAATATTTTTAAAACATAGTAAATACTTATATCTAAGTTCTCATAAACCATTTTTTTAATCCATAAGTTTTCCTAAAAAAATTAAAATATTGTGTGGCGCTCACAGTTTATTTCCTATCGCGTGCTCGATATAGCTGTCTCATAATTTGCGTACATGAAGTACATTGCATCACTGTCATTTGACACTCCCTCAGTCGTCCGTAAGCTTCACCGACAAAGGGTTAAGCTACGCCTCCAAAACTACAATTAATTTTCGAGGTATACTCTTAAATGGGATCTTGGTTATACATTGGCTAATCAATGAATTTAAATAAAATTACAGAAAGAATTAGAACGTTTTAACACGAGATTAGAAAACAAATCTCGTGTTAAAACGGGCAGATTAAATTATAAACATTGTGTAAGTCTAATTTTTAGACATCAATTAAAAAATCTTATGCTTTGTTTAAAAATATTTTAAACTTTACATTCAATGACAATATTTTCACAGTATTTATACAGCAATTTAAGTAGTTTAATACTTTTTAATTTACTTCATGTTTCTTACTTAAAAATCTAAATATTATAATATACTATTTAGATTATATAATATAAATATTATAATATAATTATAAGGATTAGGGCATGCAAACTCAATATACCGAGATGAAAATATATAAATGTAAATTAAAAAATGCACCAATTATGTTAATATTTATAATTTCAACACACCAAAAGAAAAATAGAAGTTTTATAATTTAAATAATTCACACTCGGACCACATTTGTGATTCCATAATGTCAGTCGAACAAACGATTACCTGCGTAATACTAACATATAAATAATCATGTTGCAAAGCAAATCGAAGGATTAAATGAGAACTGAAGTACTTAGGATAACTGTTACGGACGCCTATCTATGCTAAATGATAAATACTCCTTACGAGCTATTCACAACTTAATACTAATTTAGCAACATATCACATCCATCAACCAATCTACAGCCGTTATAATGGAAAGACTCGGCTGACATGAGTTAACAAACTTTATTCATTCAATCATTCACTCGTTCGAAAAATATTTCTTTTTCATTGAGATTTCTGTTCAGTTTGAATCTTAATAATGACTAAGTTATATCATTATTCATAACAAATTATTTCGTTTTTATTATCATCTATTTGCATTTCAGCGCCATTTACCAATAAGTACTCCAACTATAGATGATCTCATTATTTAATACAGGGAAAACTTAAATAAATTTCTATCAAAATATGCTTCGATGCACAAATAGTTTGAAAAAAATTATACAAAAAAAGTATTTCGCTTGTGCATTAACCTTTAAATACAATTGCGTTCCAGAGTTCATTAAAAAGACTATATCGTAAATACATTCGGCGACTATCAACAATCGGAATATATTACTTAGTCATACACACATACATTCGCCTTACATTACGCAAATTTTCACGGCAATTCCCACTCACATAATAATTGTTTTACGCAATAAAAGAATATCTAAAAAGTGTATATTCACTGTGTTTCGTCACTGGAGTCAAAGTTTTACCACGGTTGGTTTGAGGGTAGATAATTTTCAGGTGGGGGTACAGATGGATTAGCGGTGGGAGGAGCCGCATACGGCGGATAGTACCCACCACCATAGCCAGCGTAGTACGGAGCGTTCGGATACGCTCCATAGCCCATCCCGTAACCTGTGAACATTTTTATTTATAGTTTTACAATAGCTGAGTTATATCTTTATAGGAGAATAGTATATTTTAGATAGAGCCACGCTGTAGCTATATGATGGTTGTAGCACGAATGGGTTTGGCACCAGTTCGGTTCGATGTTGTATCCCGGCACACCATCTCTCACAGAATACCAGCGTTAAACAGCAGCTTTTGAGTGGATTAAAAATATCACAAGCTCAAGGAAACAACTATAAAGTTGTCTAAACAGTTACACTAAAAACTAAACTTCATTCCTTATTTCCTACCCTTAGGAGTGGAATTTCTTCTTTAAATATAAATGGTTTTAAACCTTATAGAACACTGATGAAAGATAAAAAAATCATGGCCTCTGAGAAGTGGTCAGATCAATAATAAGTGGAACTATATAAACCATTCCTTGGTAGTGTAATATTGAATATATTTTACCAATTGCTGTCTACAACGTGAATAATAATCATTATCATTAGTCTTATCAAAAGTTCACTGCTTAACATAGATTGCCTCTTAGGAGAGATATTTGCCATAGGTGCTACACTTGGCTTACTACTGATATAGCTGCAGCATGGCTCTACCACGTAAATAATAATATGGCATAGTAGGTCTGTGTTCCGAAATAGAACCCAGCATACTGGCGAATGCAAATTATGTCAATAATTGACGCCATATTTTACTGGCTTGGCGCCGCCATATTGTGTCGGATATCACGCCATATTAAAACAATTTTTAAACAGCCAAGCACTAAAGCTTCGTCATCAGTATCACTATCGGATGAATCAGAATAAATTTCAATAGCAACACGGCTCAGTAACATAATTGCTGATATCTCCATTCTTTACAAATTAATTGAAACAGGATATAATAACTTTTGAAGCACAAAATGACATAAAATTATCGCCAACACTTTTCCAATATGGCGCAAATGTATGATGTCATACACTGGCCAATGTTTTGAAACGAATCACCAGTATGGCGTCGATTTATGACGTTATTTGCACTTGCCAGTATACTGGGTTCTATTTCGGAACACAGACTAGATTCTTACACTACCTATGTGATTAATTACAATTTTAACACATTGTAGCTTCAATCATTATCATCCCTAAAATAATGACGGTAGTAATTTATTTATACATAGATTAGAATTGCTTTTTTAAAGTTACTTGTCTTAATTCTCATGGACAGTGGGTATATGGCATTTTATTTATTTTTATGGCGAATTCAAAAAGGAGGAGGTACTCAATTCGAATGTGTTTTTTTTAATGTGTTACCTCAGTACTTTTTTCTAGGTGAACCGATTTTAACGATTCTTTTTTTATTTGAAAGCTGGTGCTTCTCGTGTGGTCCCATATAAATTTAATCAACATCTTACCAATAGTTTTTAAGTTATCCTTTAATAATGCGTATGTAATTGACTTGGACTACATCGATGATGTTCTCATTTCAATAGGTCCTTACATATGAAATTGGCGTTTTGTACGGGAGGAATATAAAGTCATTTTTTTTTTTGTAAAATATATTTAATTAATAAAAGTATGCACCGTTGTTATCTATATACTTTTGCCATCTCATAGGTAGTTCATTGATCCCTTTACTAAAAAAAAACCATGGGGGAGAGAATCCTATAACACAAACTCTTTGAAGGCGGTTTGGACTGCCGCATCGGAGTAGAATTTTTTTCCTTGTAAGAAGTTGTCCAAATTCCTGAAAAAATTATAATCTGTTGGAGCAAGGTCTGGGGAGTACGGTGGATGTCGCAGACATTCCAATTGTAGCTCATCTAACTTAATGGTTGTTTGTTGTGCAGTGTGTGGTCTTGCGTTGTCGTGAAGCTGCAGTGGTCTAGAGCGATTGACCAATCTCGGCTGTTTAGCAGCTAGTTCTTCCTTCATGGATTGCAGTTGCTGACAATAGATATCTGCCATAATTGTTTGGCCAGATTTTAGAAAGCTCTGGTGAACGACACCGGCGCTAGTCTACCATACACTAACAAGTAACTTTTTCTGAGTCAATTTTCGTTTAGGGCAAGATTTAGCTGGGTCTCCAGGGTTCAGCCATTGCGACGTGCGCTTTCGACAGTATCCACTTTTCATCACAAGTAATGATTCTATTTAAAATCCCTTCACTTTTGTGTAGGTTGAGCAAAGTAACACAGCAGTCGACGTGTCTTTGTAAGTTCGATTCACTCAATTCATCAATCCATCGTTCAAGGTTTTTTACTTTCCCGATTTGCATCAAGACGATCAATACAGTTTTATCACTTACCCTGAAGCCTGCAGCTATCTCTGAAGCGCTTTGTAATGGATCCGCTTCCACAATAGCCTTTAATTCTTAATTTTCCACTTTGTTCTCCGGCCGTCCACGGGGTTGGTTCTGAAGGTCGAAATTTCCAGAACGAAAACGTTGAAATAAACGCTTTTGCGACACTAGCGCCGCACGCATCATTAATCCTTCGAGCTGTTTCTGCAACACTGGTGCCACGGTAGAACTCGTACTCGTAAATATACCGATATTTCATGTTTCCAATGTGCGGTATTAAACGACCCCAAAGAAAAAAATAATGAGGAAAAAGTGAATGACTGTTTGCAAAACTCAAATGTACCAGCTATACCTAGTCAACCAAATCTAAGAAATACCTTTTGACGTTTCACACTAATCATTCCGCAATAACTTTGCACAAGCGTACTCACACGATTTAAAATAACCTTTTACGTAAATCCGAAGAACTATAAAGTTATCTATATTTCATTACAACGTGTATGTTTTTTTATCACTTATTTAAATTTGAATTTTTCAAACAAAGCAAAATATTAAAAAATAACCATAGTGTTTGGATGATTAAAATTCATTGTCATGCGAATAATCGGAAAAATGTTGAAATAATCGGTAAAAATATTCTAATATTCGAATCATTAATTTTTTAATGTATTATTTGTTTAATTTAATTTTTATTTTTAAAATTCCTTAAATTACATGAATCATGAATAAAACAAGTTTATTTTTTTCACTTTATCAAAGTAAATTTTTGTAGGAAAAAACTCATATACAAGGCCGTGCTAAAATAACCACTACATAATTTCAATATCCCGCCATTTCGGAACCAGTTACTCGACTCCACAGAATCAGTAATTCATTTCTGAGGCGATGTATACGCTTTTATAACAAAATACCAGAAATATACAAAATTTGACGTAAGTACACAAAGTTCAAAAACTTTAATAAACTATATTTGTATAGAAAGGGTTATTTTAATATTAAGGAATTTATGGATGATAATAACCCATGGGAAGGGTGATCGCTACCAAGCTATTTCTAATTTGTTTTGTGTTGTTAATTGTAACACGCATGATCGCAAGCTCTTTTTTTAAAATTAGTTCCGTTGGGTTTCTTGCTGGTTCTTCTCAGGACAGAGGTTTTTTTTTGCGAACCAGTGGTAAATAAAAAAAGTGACTTTCAATAAGTAATTGAATAAAAAAGTTTTTGTTTCGAGAGCTTATTGTGCGTAATTTTGTGTTTTTCTTCTTATTTTGTGACTCGGCTTTAACTTTTTGGACTGTTTCTTCTATAATAACTTTTTGTACGTAGCAGAGCCACGCTACATCTATATTATAGTTGTAGCACGAATGGGTCGGCTCAACCAAGGCAGGACCACGCTCTCACAGAATACCAACGTAAAGTAGCAGCCCAATGCTGATGTGTTTCATATGGTGAGTTTAAAGAACTGGACACCCTTTTTACTGGAATCGAGGCATTCCATCTTAGTCCTCAGGGGTGACAACGCATTTACATTTCGATTCTTAATTGAGGATAAATGTGTATGTCTATGGGCCATACCATATGGGTCTTAAGATGAACATGGACAAAACAAAGATCATGTTTAATGTCCATGTCACACCTATGCCGGTAGTTGTTGGGAGTACTATGCTCGAAGTTTTTTACGAGTACGTTTTCCCGGGACAAATAGTCCGACTAAGTAAGTCCAACTTCGACCGAGAGATCAATCGACGGATTCAACTCGGCTGGGCAGCGTTCGAGAAATTACGACACATCTTCTCGTCAGGTATACCTCAAACTCTAAAAACTAGATTGTACAACCAGTGCCTGTTGCCAGTGATGACTTACGGATCTGAGACTTGGTCCTTCACTGCTGGCCGTATGTGGATGCTCAAGGTCACTCAGCGAGCTACGGAGAGGGCTATGCTCGGAGTTTCTCTGCGTGATAGATTCAGAAATGAGGATATCCGCAGTAAAACCAGAGTGACCGACACAGCCCAACGGATTAGTAAGCTGAATTGGCAATGGGCCGGCCATATAGCTCGAAGAACCGAACCGGGAAGAAAGGTTCTCGAGTAGCAGCCCCATACCGGTAGGCGTAGTGTAGGGCGACCCCCCACTAGATGGAGTGACGACCTGGTAAGACAGGCAGGAAGTCGATGGATGCAGGTGGCTCAGCACGGTCCGTGCTTTGTGGCATTACTTGTGGGAGGCCTATGTTCAGCAGTGGACTTGTGAAGGGCTGTAATGATGATGGTGGGCCATAGCATCCACTTACCATCAGGTGGACCGTGTGGTCGTTTGTCACCCAATGCTATAAAAAAAATTCGTTGAAGCAGGTGCCCATGTCACAAAGGATGACTGGGCAAAAGTGGTAGGCAAAACAAAAATGATTATGGATGACTTTGAAAGAGACATTAATTTTAACTGCATTATTGATAATCAAATAATAATTAATATAAACAACGACATACCTACTAGATGTACTGAAAGTGATTGAATAAATTTATTTTTAATCTAGTTTCAATCTTAAATTTTTATAACTGTACCTCTAGAAGTAAGCAGTTACAATAAATACGAAGAAACTGATAAATCTTGTGTTATAAATTGTCCGTTTTTAATTTATTCTGGTATTATTCAAACCAAACTGTAAATGATTACCAACTCTAAATAATCGATATCGATTTTTTTAAAAATTGAATATTGTATGTTCCGATTTTTTGGTTGGCATGCTTGGTGCAATAAGTCTGACAGCTTTCAAAATGTATTTCTTAGATTTGGTAGACTATAAATGAATTTATAAATTTGAATTTGGAATTCTTAACCAAAGAGGAGATATTTCAGATCAAAGTGGTCAGTACGACAAAACGCTAATTTCATAATATGTAAGGACCCAATATTTACTTAGTCAGTACATAAGTTCTGTCAAAAACTTTTTATAAAATTAATGATACAGTTTTTGATAATTATATAGAAATTTTATATGAAATGAGAGGTAATTTAATTTAGAATACAATTTTATTTACATTATTAAAAATGCCCTCCCCTATTTTGAATACATGCCCTTAATAGACGCGGCCAATCATGAATCGCACGTACCCCACTCATTTCTATTTCTGCCGCTGCTTTAACCAAAGATGCTCGGACAGATTCCAGATTCTGGTGTGGTTTAGTGCAGACTTTCTCCTCCAAATTTTGCCATATCTTATAATCCAGTGGGCTTAAATCTGTACTGGAAAAGGGCCAGTCTTCATGTATGATGAAGTCAATTCCATGGGCGGTCAACCAGTTTTGCGTGCTTCGTGCCCTATGAGCTGGTGCAGTCCTGTTGGAATATTCAATGTCTGTTTTTGAACATTGTTTGAGAAATAGGTTCCACTATGTTTGTTAGGACGATATTTTGGTACACCTCGGCACTGGTTTGTACACCTTTTTCACAGAAAAACACCTCAGTTAAACCTGAATATGAGACTCCAAGCCAAACCATGAGTGACGAAGGATAATGTACTCGTTGAACCCTCGGAATACGAGTGCTGGCTTCTTCACTGTTGTGGGCATACACCTTATCATTTTGTTTATTATAACTTTCATCGATGTTAAAAATTTTTCATCCGAAAACAAAATTTTGCGGTAGTTTATTCCCGCGTACCGTCGTAACAAACCGCGAGATCTATCTAGTCTATTTTTTTCTAACGCTCGTTCAAAAAACGTCCGTTCTTCTTACGATAAGCTCGTAGTTCTAGGTCTTCATTGATCACTCTTTTGAGTGCGGTTCTGCTTAGCCCATCTATAGAGCTAAGATTCTTGTTTACGAACAGGATTTCGTTGGATTCGCGCCTTCACTGCTTTGATAATAGCGGGTGTCCTAAGTGTACGAGGTCGACCGGTCCTCTTACGATCTTCGAAGCTTGAATCTTCAGTGAATCGTTGGATAGGGCGACAAACAAATCATAGGGTTATTTTCAATTTTTGCAGAATATTGAAAATCTCTTTTGGCGCGTAACAACAGCGGTGCAACGCGATTGATTACCGCTACTCTGTCTTCTTTCTTCGACCACTCCATATTTAAAAATGAGTAAAAATTAATGTCCTTTTTATTTTCGGTAAGCGCAAAAGTTATATTTTTAAAATTGGTGAACTTCATCTAGCCAGTGTTCAAAATTTTTAAATAATAAGGTTTTGACAGAACTTATGACCCAACTAAGTATTTAATAAATTATATTATATAAATAAGTATTTAGTAAATTAATAAACAAAAAATTGTTAATGGTGTATGTAGAAACATTTTGATTTGTGCTAGAAATAATGTAATATATAACATAAAATATGTTTACCTGGATATTGGCTAAATGCTCCTTCTGTGGGATTACTAGGAGGATATGCTGGTCCAGGCAGAGAACTCGTAGGCATTGCAGTACTATCTCCTAACGTTCCCGTCACTGATACTTTCCTCACATCAATATTTGGCGTCACCGAAGAACCACCACTCATCAACCCAATGTTTCCTAAATTTGAACTTATTGCCTGGTGCTTGGTATGATCTACGCTTTGACCAATAGTAAAATCACGATTTGGACTGATAGAGTTATCATGCGAAATTCCTAAAGAATTTTTTGTTCTAGGAATACATTGCGCTAAATTTTGTGGGATCGATTCACTTATTCTTGGCTTTTGTAAATGATTACTAATCACTGAATCACTCATCCTAGACTTTTGATTGCTTGAACTAAGTAGACTAGATACACTGTGAGACATGTTGGAATTTGAAACTGACGGTCTATCATTACTTTGGGATTCAGAAGTTTCGTTTTTATTGGGAGACTTTTTCTTTTTCGTTTTAGTGTTTGGTCTATCATCAGTGCCTGGTGAGTAAGATTGGGTAATATCGTCTAAGTTTCTTCTAAAATCTGGAATTCCTTCCTTATTCAATGTGCTAGCAGTTCTTTCTAATTGACTCAAACTAGATTCTGTTTGAGGACGACTGCCAAGCCGCTGATGTCTATAATTTTTTAAAAGATTTATTTTTTTCTCCATCTGTGTTGAATGAATTGCCTCACTGGTTGCTACTTTTGTTTGATTGTTAGGTGTTACTGGTTCAATGGATGTTTCCTCAGTCAATTTATTTTCTAATGCTTCTTCTGATGGCAATTTCTCGTCAGTCGTCAAACACAATGGCTCAGTGTCAGTGTTTTTTTGTTCCATTTTTTCTTTTTCACGTTCTTCATGATGCACGCATTCCTCTATATGCATATTTGGTTTTTTTAAATAACTGTTCACATTATTGCCTTTCGCATCACCTAATTTATTCCTTTGCGACTTAACATCTTTTGGTAAAACTTCATCATCCTCTTCATCACTATCTAATATCTGGGCGTCTTCATCAGATCCTATGTCCACTCTCTTTGCAATATAAGAATTAATGTTTACTGGTCTTCTCAAATCTTTAGGTATTTTTGTGATGCTAACAGAGCCAGGCAAATTAGGCCTTAACATTCGAGATTGATTCAAAGGAAATTTAGCTCGCATTGCTGAATAGGATCTCATTTCTCCCAAGCGATTTCTGATATCGGCTATCTTTTGCCCAGGAAATACAGGTCTTGCAATTTTATTCCCCATCATTGATGGTCTAGTCATAACTCTTTGCATTCCAGGTCTCAGTCCAGTTTTCGATGTAATAGTTATTGCAGAGTTATTTTTTAAAGAACCTGGTATATTCGAGGGAGTAGGGCGAGTACCTAAAACTGAAAAAAATATTTTTACAGTCAATAAATGTATAAACAATTATAATTAACCTTACAAAAATGAAAAATTGATGAACATACCTTTTTTTCCTATCGGATTACCCTCTTTACTGTCGGACCCTTTTTGCAAGCCTTTGAGAGAAGTTTTTATTGCAATTATCTTGCCTGATTCTAACTGCATATAAATTCCTTTGGGTGATTTCAAAACCATTACACGTTGACCAGCTTTAAGAACAATATTAGTTTTCTCAGCTGAGTTCGTTGGTATAACGACATCTGCAAATAAATAAACATTCATAGTTTAGAATATATACTTAACAAAATGTTAATTCCATCTCGACTCTCCTCTTGGTATCTTTTTTTTAATATAAGTTGTAAATGTTATTGGTTTCCATTTATGCATGTATAAATATAGGGAATTGTCATAAATCGAAGTGTTACTAATGAGCAGCAACGTCAAAGCCGAAGTTTAAGAGTAAGGACAGACTGATCCCACATACGCAACGTATGCGATGCAACGCACCTATGTTGGTGTACACACTTGACCTACGTATGGTGGTCACGTCACGTTAAGACACTCTTATCATTTCTTAGCGGACGCACGGGTGAAAACTTATGTCATGTTTTCTGATTCTGAGAGTGAGTTTGAGAGTGATTTACTTAGTCTGATGCTCATAAACGAATATATCCACACCACAAAGGAAACATTTAGGCAAACAAATACATGAATATGTAAAATACAATGTGTTATTTCCGCAGTATATAAAACCATATTTCATAAAGATAAGGAGTCTTAAAAACATAACTAGGCTAAACATACAAAACACTACTTCTTTTTAATTTCGCGCCTCGACCTCTCCCTTTCACATTAATAACAAAAATAATAGCCGTAAGTGGATAGGTACTCAGTAGCTTTACCATGTAGTTTTACTATCTCTTCCCATACTGTATAACGTAATGTGGCATCGCGATATAATATTCTACACATTTAATATTATGAATACATTTGTGTCGCTTTCCTAAATCAATGAGCTGTTTATATCCCATTTTGACAACAATACCCGTGAATTAAGTTGACGACAATGACTTTATTTAAAAATAATTTACTTATACAAAGTAGCAGCGTTACAACTTATAATGTTCTTGTGTATATGTAATTTGTTAACCCGTGCATGGTGCAAAGGTATATTTGTTTATGACGTGCTACACGTAAGTTTTAGGAACACACTGGTTGTACACGTGGTATTGCGTATCAAGAGTTCAGATATTATGCGTTGCGTACGTGGGACCAGTCTGTCTATGTCTTAATTACCAACCTTAGCATCAAAGTCAAACTTGCCCGAAAGGATAGTAAAATTCGAAGTGTGGTTGTCATTCGATAGCATCAAAAGTCAAAGTTGGAGCGTCAAAATATCTAAGCACAGTCACCAAGTGGCATAGTTAAAAAAAAACGAGTGCAGTTATCGAGCATTAACGGTAACGGTAAATTAACTTATCGAGCAGAGCGCCAAAAAGTCAAAGTAGTTACTGAACAGTGTCGTCATCTATTCTATGTAATAGTCATTTACCATCAGGTGGGATAGTGATCATTATTACAGCCCATCACAAGTCCACAACAGAACACAAGTCTCCCCCAAGGGATATCACAAAACACGGTTCGAAGCCATTTGCATCTATCGACTTCCTGCATCTCTTACTAAGCCATCATTCTATCACTCTGTCACTCGAGAATTTTTCTTTCCCATCGGCTGTCGGTTCTTCGAGCTATATTGCTGGCCCATTGGCACTTCAACTTACTGGTCTTTTGGGAAATGTCAGTTCCTCTAGATCCACTGAGAATATCCTCATTACAAAATCCATCACGCAGAGAAACACAGACTCAGAGCATAACAGACATAGAGCATAAAACTCTCCTTAGCTCGCTGAGCAAACTTATCATACTTTCAGCAGTGAAGGGGCACGTTAAATATTCATATTATGTATTACTGGTAACACGGGCTGGTTGTACACCCTAGTTATCAAGTTTTGAGTTATATGTGACGAGAAGATGCGTCATAATGTCCCGACCGCTGCCCAGCCAAGTTAGATCCATCGATTGACCACACGATCGAAAATGAACGTACCTAGTCGGCCAAGTTATCCTAGGCAAACATACTCGTCAACAACTTCCAACGTAGTGTTCCCCACAACTTTTTTTATGTATAAGAGGGGGCAAACGAGCATGCGGCTGCTTGGCTGAAACAACTGCAACACCAGGAGAACTGCAAATGCGTTTGCGGCCTTATAAATTACCCGTGTAAATTTAAATTGCTAAGGATCACGAACTCGAAGAAGTGTTAAAATTTGTACAGCGGGTAGGAAAGGTACGAAGTATCAGTCGCAAAAGGATACCTGCGTCTCGGTAAAAAAAAACCGGCTTCGTTGTCTCCTGGTGGCAATGAACGGCGTTGAGGTTCGAGTGAAGTTTATAGTGTATGTTTGAGTAATAACTACCTACTTAACACTATATTTATTATTTGAATACATGTAGAAATATAAGTAGAAGCTTTCAAGTTGCGTACATACACAAATTGCATAGACAAAGATATACCATCTTACAGACACACAAAATTACGTCATTAAACTAATCGTCGAAGATTCCTAATATTTCTGATTTCTCCATTTTACGGGGAGAGGACGGCAAAGAAAAGTTTAAAGTGATAGCTTCAATATGGGCCATATTTTGACGAATATTGTTTTTTTTTCAGTTATTATATTATTTTTAAGCCTTTTTTTCAGTGGTTTAAAATACCAACCCGCAGTTTTTTACCGCACACGTAGTGGTAACAATTTTAATTTATTTGCAACATTATGGACAACCCTGACGGACAGCTCCCGAACGACTAATAAATGAATGAACGGCGTTCGGGAGCGCTCCGCCCGGGTCTCGCTCTGCACCGCACTGCACGATTGCCCCGTCTAGACGTCTTCGATGACCGACTGTTGCTAGTAGTAGAGTGTGGTATAGCTGGACTGTGCTCTGATGGCGTCGCTCGCCGGCGGCGATCCGGTAAATACCGATTCAGTACATGTCCGGGATATCATCGCTACTAGCTAATAAAAGTTAAAAATAGCACAGATTCAAGGTGACACAAGGTCAGTCTAAAGACCGATTTACACTTCGACAAGTACAGTAGCGAGTTTACTTGCGAACCTGGCGAGTTACGTAGAAAATCTTTGAACGACAATTAGTGAGTTAAGTAACAAGTTAACAATTAAGTTAAACGGGATAGGCAGCCGATCTACTTTTCGGCGAGTTAAATTCGAAGTGTTCGCCCTCCCGCCACCCGCAACTAAATCCGCTGCTCGTGTAAACGAGTGAATTTAGTCCACGCCACGAATACATTTGAACGCTACTCTGTCAACTGCCCTATAACTAAACTCGCTACTGTACCTGTCGAAGTGTAAACCGGCTATAAGAGTGGGAGTGGTAGTATAGTCACCGAGCGGCAGCGTCATCTCCTGCGCGGTCATGCCCTGGCGGCGCCACACATCGGCGGGGATCCAGCGCGCGGCGTGCTGCGTGGGGCGCACGGAGGCCACGGGCCGTTGCACCACGCTGCCGTCCGCGCCGCGCACCGCGCGGTACGTGCCCGCCGGCTTCGGCGCCAACGCCGCCTTCTTCTCCAGCTCGTATCTGCTCAAATCGCGCCGATGTTAAGCACACACTTCTATGTATACAACTACACGGGCAATACTGAACTAATTCGTGGCGTTGATTAAAACAACTTTTACAGCGATTTTAAAATCTTGATAAAATTATAAACATCTATATATTATTAATAAATATGAAAATTATATTTCGTGACCAGGATTATTTCTTACCCTCTTTGTGCGAGTCTCTTTTCAGCACTGGACAATTTTTTCTCTTTTCTGTCCACCAAAAGTGATTCATGCTGGAAAGGTTCTTTGCTTAACCACTTTCCGTGCAGCGTTAAAATTCCTTGCATTAACAAATCTACATACTTGTCTTTATACACCGACAAATCTTTAACCTCCGATTCCTGTAAAAGTATTCATAATATTTACTTTTTGCCTGTTTGTAAATAGTACAAAATGAATAAAAACGAACTGCCAAGAACAAGCACATGCTATTAATACCGTACTCTGCCCTAAAGCGTCAGCGATCTATCCCGGAGCAATGTATATGCTTTTACAACAGAGTCACAGAAAATATGCGCGGTCTATCAATCAAAAAGTTTAAAATTTACACAGCAGCATAAAAAGGGTTATTGTAATATTAAAGAAATACATTAAAAAGGCGATGCCTACCTTTCTGTTTCGAATCCAATTGAACTGCATTGTAAATTATTACTTAAAAAAAGAGACCCGCTAGGTTTCTTGCTAGTTCTTCCCAGGGCAGAGGTTTCTTACGAACCAGTTGTAAAAGCATAAATTATTTTCACTAAGTGTTACTTGTAATCTTTGTTGAATAAAAATTATTGTGCGGCGAGCATTAAACCTTGTTGAGAATGTGTACTCAAAGTTGGACGAAGTTCGCAAGCGTACTGCACGCAACCAATGGGTATATAGCGAGCGAATCTAGTGACTGTCACACTGCATGCGATTAATTAAAACTAGACAAGACCTTATTTCCAGACATGCTGAATGACCTATCTTAAATAAATTAAGTAAATGAGTATTTACCTTTTCATCATTATCAAAACATAGATTGGTGATCTCCTTCATTGACAGTACAGCGTCTGGGTTACACTCGTCGACCACCCGATCAGCCATACCCTGCTTGTTGATTTGCCGATCATATATCTTCTTTTCGAGACACCAGTCCATTACAAAACGATAAACGAAGCACGGTTTCTGCTGGCCATACCTAGTAACAAAAATATAATTTAGTGCCAAAAAGTAAATAAATTTTCTATACTATAATAAAACTCTACCGCACATCTGTCTGAACACGCATCACGCAAAAACGTGTGAACCAATTTGGATGGGACTTTCAATGGCAGATAGCTGATGTTATAAGGAGTAATTTAGGCTACTTATAATTTAGGGTTCGGCGTATATTATTAAAATAACACTGGTTTTCACATTTCTTTCTGAGATATACGAAATAAAGATTTTTGTGATGAAATTAAACTAGTAATCCTATACTTTAAAATATCCTATACCTTTAAACGAGCAATTCTTGTATATATATACAAGACAAATATGTTTTCAGGCAATGAAAAACTGCTACAATATAAAAAGGTAAATTTTGACGCTGCGGTAATGATCGTAATAGCTCAAGTGGATATCGAGCGGTCGAGAAATCGTAATGCCTTGGTTCGCGTCCTGTCTTCGGTTCGACTTTTTACTTTTTTTTTAAAGTTCCCTTCTTTTATGAGAAAATCTTTTATTTTGAGCCCTTTTTTTAGTATTTTTTAAAAATTATAAATTATAATTTAAAATTTTTAATTAAACCAATTGCACTCATAATTTTTTATTCAAATAACCAGTTCAGTTTTTTCTATTACGTCAATAAGATCAAAAAATATTATTCATGTTTCATCAGTATGTAATTTGTATCTAAATGTAATTTAAAAAAAACCGAGCAAAGCTCGGTCATCCAGGTACTAGTTAGATAATATGGTAATAAACTTTACCTGTATACACGACAAACAGCCTGTGTGTCGTGACAAGGATTCCAGCTGGCATCGAAAACAATTACTCTATTAGCACCTACAAGATTAATCCCAAGAGAACCTGCTCGTGTGGACACAAGAAATAAGTATATGTTTGGGTTTGCGTTAAATTCATTTATCAATTTCTCTCGTTCTAGCGCGTGAGTAGACCCATCCAATCCTGTAAAGTTATGAAAATGTTAACATCCGCGAATGACAATAGTCTCAAGCTCATATTAGCAGTTTGCTGATAGAAATGCTAACATTTTAAATAGCCATTGTTAAAAATACTTACGATAGTAGGAAGTATTTCTTTGCCATAGACGATCAGTGCCAGGAATGTAATTTTTCTCTAAGAAATCTTCAATTAGATTTAAAGTGAACAGACTCTGACTGAAAAGTAGTAGCCGGTCACCAATTTTAATACTTTCATTTAATAAGTAAAAAAATAACTCCATCTTAGCGGAGTTTTCAATTATTCCTGGTACATAGTCTTTTAATAATTCTGTCGCCCAATCGTAAGTCATCTCTTCAGCCTTCTTTAACATAGCTAATTCTTCTTCCTTATTCTTCTTTTCTTCCTTCTCACTCTCTTCAGATTCTGATTCATCGTTATTCTTTTCCTTTGAATTTTTTCTTTCCTTCCTGCCTTTAGCTTTTGCTCGACCTTTAGGCTTCGGTTTTTCCGCTTTTTTTCTCTCTTTCCCTTTGCCTTTTTGTTTACCTTTTTTCAAGTTTTCACGATCGGATTCAGATATGTCACTTTTAGATTGTTCCTTAGGTGCTAACTCTTTCATATTTAATTCCATCACTTGGTTTTTGGGGGAAGTTGCTATTTTGAAAGTGTCTCTTTTTGTTTCGTCTTTAACTATCGTTTTAGTATCCAAATCTTCTATTTTAACTTCACCATCTGATTCTGATTTCGTTTCTAGTTTTTCCTCGTTTTTAATTTTATCAACATCAGTTTTGATTGCATCTATAGGCCATGGGGTAACTGGGCTTCCAGCACTGCCTAATGGTGGTTTAGTTTCAAGAGCAGAAGGAAATGTTGAATAGTGACACGGGTAACCACCGTTCGCACCTGTTTCTGATTGGTCCGAGTAAAGGGAAGGATTTTGTTGATGATAATTAAAAGAACTGTCAAATGGAGGAGTATTCTGAGAAAAATTGGGGTCGGGTTTGCTTTCAGTAGGCGGGTAGTTAGTATCCATGTTCATTTCTGTTTTGATTGGGGTTTGATTTGGCATAGGATTATTTTGCGTTTGACTGGGCGGCATATTATTTGCATACCCAGTAAAATTTGGACTTTGATTTTCATATTGGTTAAATGTCGGCGGAAGATTGGCTCCATATGCAGTACTATTGCCAGGAAATGGTGCAGACTGAAAAGACGCGTTTGAAAAATCTTGAGGTGCTTGATTATTGGAATAGTTATTTTGTGCTGGTGTATTAGAATCAAATGCTGTATAACCAGGAGAATTTGGATCTAAAGGTCCTTGAAACGAAGACCCATGTTGATTGGCGAAATTTTCTTCATTATTTGGATACTGTTGTATTTGGTTACCAGGATATGACTGATTATTACTATCAATTGTGTTAAAGTTCGGTGGATATGTTTGCGTGTTATTAAAATTTCCTGGGGTACTATCTGTATATTCAGACTGTTGTTGCGCATTTGGATATTGTGAATTATTATAGTATTCCGTGTTACCATAAAAATTACCATTATTCCAATAGTTTTGATTATAACCTTGATTACAATCAGGATTATTTTGAGGATACTGGTTTGGATAGTTATTGCTATATGGAGATTGTTGTTGATAATAATTACTGTTGTATTCTTGGTTAAAACCTTGGTTAGGAGGGTAATACCCCTGACCAGAATTATGGTACTCTGGATAAGGGGGATAACCTCCAGATTGTTCAGTTCCAAAAGAACTAGAAGAACCTGGAGGTCCTGGATTGCCCGGAGGTCCGTAAGGGCCATCATTTGGAGGAGGCTGTGTGTTTTCATAAGTGCCGGAATTAGAACGAGCATTCCCAGTACCAGTAGTATTGGGAGGTACTTTTGCAGCGGGTTTTTTTGATGAACCCTATAAAATTAACAATAAATCTCTTAATATTCAATATTATAGTTTTTTAATAAAATAAACGTTTTAAACATACCCGTGGTTTAGCTGCCTTTTTTGAAGTTTTCCTGGCTTTTGATCGACCAGCTTTAGTAACTCCACCTATTTCCTCTAAATCCAAATCCTCCTCGATTGCAGCGTTAGCTTCGCTTCTCTTTTTGAGAAAGTTATATAGAACATCCGGATGATTCCATATCTGAAAAACCAAGCATGTTTATACATCATTATTTTAGACTGCAATAAGTGTTTGGTTTGTAAAACGAAATTTACCTTGCAGCAAATAGCAAATGCTTTTAATGGATTTGGCACTGATGTAGATCGAACAACTTCATTCATGAATCTGTCGTATAATTTCCGTTGCAAGGGCGTCATGCGCACAAGAAGAACGTATTCTTCTTTTTGTGGTAAAGTCGACTGCAGCACAGCATGAGATCGTCTGTGCAACGTAAATAATTATTATAACATAACATTTGTCATCTTCAGGGGAGTGTCTGGTTTATTTTAGTGTTTTATTTTAGTTTATCTTTACACATATAGAAAATCAATTTTCACTAAACAAAGGTCGTTAGGGTCAATGCAGTGCCTACAAAATAATGAAATCACAGCATCCAGTATATAATTCCTTTTAAAGAAAACTTTTATTCAGAACTACCTATATGTTGGACGATTTTTTCAACAATTATTTGTGGATAAAAGAAAAAATAAATCGTTTCCTTGTCATATTTGTTTAATTTTAAGTATTAACACTTTATTAAATTTTTAAGCTATTGCATAGCTTCTATCGCGGGCCTTGAGCGCGGGGACCGAATCAAGAAATTCCGTAACGAAAAAAAACCTCACGCTCCCCACTCCGACGGGCACGGAGGTGTGGCTTGAAGGCCGTGCATTGTCTAACGTCGTTTTAGTTCGGCAGACTTCGGCACTCGGCAGACTTCGGCACGGTGTTTGTGTGCGTGTACACTAGCTGCTAACTCAATGATAAAAATTCCTGAATAACCTACATGTATTGTAAGATATTAAAAATATTTTAAACAATATTATCTTCTCATTTATTCAATAAGAGAAAAAAAATTGTTTTCTTATCGGTCACCACGCTCAAAAAGTGTAACTTGATTTAATATCAAAGACTTAACTGCATAAAGAAAATAAATAAATAATTATAATTGCATAAGTTAATAAAAAATGCTATGCAATATCTTTACCGCGGCAGTCACCGAGTGCCACATGTATTTTTTTTTCTAATTCTTTATTTACACTTTATGCCATAGAGCATTAAGTCCGCCATATGGATTATACACTTAGCTTTATGTTAAATCATTCTAAAGTAGACAATATTGGTATATGATTAACACTAATTAAATTAACACAACTATCTAGTGTGTATTAACTACATACCTTTGTACAAAACCCACAAGCAACGAGTGCAAAACATGCGCTCGATACCTCATGAGCCTAATATCTTGTGGCGTAGAGTCGATACACTGTCCATTTTGTATTGGACGTTCAAACATGTTACAAAATTCAGTCTTACTGCCAAGATAATTCGGCCTCACAAAGTCCACCATGCACCAGTATTCTAATAAATTATTTTGTAAAGGATATCCTGAAAACACGTATGTATTATATTTTACATTGTAGTGTTATATACAATTATATTATACCGTTATCCTTACAGCCTATTAAAGTGCACTGCTGAACATAGGCCTCCCCCATAGATTGCCTTAAAGGGGGGAATTATATTATCAAATCAAATCAAATCAAATAATTTATTCAGTATCAGAGTTTTTACATAGCAGTGTTGTGAATGAGGACTTCTTTTAAGTAAATAAATACTTGTGTTAGAAATCCCCCCTCTCCGTAACATTGATTAACGAACACTAATGTGATACCTACTTACTTCAATACTTAATCTAAAAACATATTTTTAATTTACATTTTAAAGTGTGTGTGTGTGTGTGTGTGTGTGTCTGTGTGTGTGTGTGTGTGTGTGCGTGCGTGCGTGTGCGTCCGTGCGTGCGTGCGTGCGTGCGTGCGTGTGTGCGTGCGTGCGTGCGTGTGTGTCTGTGTGTGTGTGTGTGTGTGTGTGTTTATGTGATTTTGAGCATTATGGGTTATTATAAAATTTCATTTAGATTAAGGCCCCAAGGGATTAAGTTTAGGTGAGTTTTATCATTCCTATTTTATTAAATAAAATATTATTTTTAAATCTAACTTCTATTGTGTGTAAAATATAATCCAAGAATGTCTTAGTTTGAGTTCTGTAAGAAAGACTCATTTTATCATAACTCCAAGTTTTTAATAGTGCTGTCAAACTCATTTTGCACTTGTATTTAGTCATTTGGTAAATGTTTAAAACTTTATTAACTTTATTATATAAATAAGCAGATCGAACCGTAAACTGCCTCCTAGCATAACCTGACTTGACTGTAGCAATGGGAGCTACATTATGCTTTCGTCTTCTAGATATTTTGGAAGGATCATATGGAAGCGTTTTGTGACATTTTAGAATTATATTTAATATATACAATTGCCTAACTGTAAGAACATCACTTATTTTGTATAGGTTTTCAGTAGGATACCTATAGGGTTTAAAGCTCGTTACCTTTAGTAGTGCTCTTTGTGCTCTTTCTAAATCGAGAAATTGCGTCTTACTAGCACCACCCCAGACTGGGATACAGTAGGTCAATAGTGACTGAGCCAATGAAACATAAATTAGTTTTAATAGTTTCTTGTCAGTAACATATCTCAGCCTTTTAAAAACCCATATAAGTTTTCTGACTCTTCCCATCATAAGTTCTAGGTGGGCGTGCCAAGATAACCTCTGGTCAACTACAACTCCCAAATACTTTGTATTGTTAACTTTGGAAATGGTTTTGCAAGAGCAATTTATTCGAAGGTTGTTACACTCATGAATTTGAATTTTGAAATTATGTTCAGGTTGCGTTGAATTATATTTTGTGAATGCTATGTAGTTTGTTTTGTCCGTATTCAATGTTAAGAGGTTGGATTTTAACCAGTTAGCTACCCTGACTAGCCCCTCCTCCGTGACTTGACGTACGGAATCCCATGTGTTGCCAGTGAAAACAATGGCAGTGTCGTCTGCATAAGAAAAAACTTGTCCCGCGTTAATACTCATATTGCAGAGGCTATTGATGTAAGTCAAGAATAGAGTTGGCCCAAGGACACTTCCCTGTGGGACACCATACGTCACATCAAATTGGCTACTAATGTATTGGCCTATTTTCACGCATTGTTTGCGCTCATTGAGGTAGTCTGATAATAGTCTGATATTATAATGTAATGTTTTTAAAAGATTGAATTTATATCTTCTTTTCATAATCAAAAAAACATTATAAAGAATTATTTTTATTTTTGGAACGCCCTCCTCAATCACATCTGCTATAAAGGTTTACTAAGTATAAGCCTTGTCTATAGTAGGGAGGATGTGACGTAATCGTCACGCTAGACATATCAATGGCGAGGGCAGTATAACTTTCTTACATGTCTGCCGTTTCTGTTTGGTATGTATTTTACATCAAATATTTATTCATACATCATGATTGTTATTCATATTAAATTCGTAAAAGTCCACGTTTTTTGTAGTATCACATTTTCTATCACCACGCTTGAAAGTACTCGGAGCAACCCAGGTTTGATTCCAGCCGGCACCAACGAAATTACTAATTGCAATTTTAACTGCTGACTATCCTCGTGCTCAGCGTATAATTAAAACATCATAAGGAAACATGTCTACGAAATTAAAAAAAAATTGAAAATATGTGAAGTCCACCAAAACGCCTTGAGGTCAGTACGGCGGACACTTCCTTACCATAAAAACCCTAAGAAATAGGATGGCATGTGTCCAGCAGTAGGACGTATACAGGCTGAAACTTCACTTTGCTTTTAACGAGATGTTTATGAAATGAAACTTTATTTGAAATTAAATGACAGTTTCTTGTTTCCAACATATTCCTTGATTAGTATAAGTTTGAGCATTTTTATGTATAAAAATACTTGTGATTTCTATATATAAAATGGGCCCTATCTAAAATGTGGTACTATAAACCGGTTTATACCGCCATCTATCGGGAGCCAGAAGATCATATTGTCATATTCCAAAGTCGCCTCTTACACGAATATTGTTGTGTGTGAGTTATTCCGTATTCCAATATAATTTAATGGACGCCACAAGGTCATTAGCTCATTTTCCTAAGTCGTTTATTTTTAAATATCCACGATTTGCCGTGGAAGCACACGACGCAAGCACGGAATAAACATAAAAATTACAGACATGATGATATTATTAAACCCGCAATGTTTAATATGAAGCAACCTTGTCAAACTGCGTTGAAACTTCTAACTTCCAATGTACTCCACATATTTTCTAATTTTTTTATATTCTTTATTAAAGGTATTTATTTCACCCATGAATAGTAATACACTTCCAATTGTGCAATTTCTTATTATTGTCTATTATTTTAATTTGTTATGTGTATTGTGATTTATTGACATTTGTCGTATGTTAACGTTTATACATATAATAATTTTAAGTTTATAAATGTGATTACACTATACCTGTTGGCTAGGATTGTATTTAATAATAGCACTTACCTGTAAGGACGACACGACGTTTCGTTCTCATTTGTTTTAAAGCATAAGATATGTTTGAATGTGAATTCTTTATTCTATGACCTTCATCACATATCACCAAGTCTGGCCCTGGCCGAACCAAGGCCCCATACATTTCTGTTAAACAAAAAAATATCCTTAAAGATCAAAACCTAATTTTCTAATGTCTGAATACCAAATTCAACTCAAATGATTGCTTATGAAAGGAAATTTTTTGAGAAATCGTCTCATTTTCAGGTGGTTTCAATTTGTTTTACGCGACACAACATCATCCGAGTACAAAATAATAATAGAATATTTGACCACAAAACCTATAACGTCATTACACTATATTCCTATACAATACTCCTTATCATAGTTTATTTTGACAGCTTTTAAAAAAATTATTGATTATAATGTCAATTTCTAAATTGATAAATAGGAGCCACACAAATTTTCCAAAATAATAAAGCATACTTACCATCTAAAAGCTTTTTGTCTTCATCTGTAGGAATATCTTCCTTCTTTTCTTCCTTTTCTTTAGCGTCTAGGTCAGTCTTGTTTGGACTCTCGCCATCTTCTTTATCTCCTCGATATTCTTCAGATGGTTTTGACATTGTACTTTCAGATTCCTAAAAATAATACATCAACATGGAAAAAAAGTTACAACCATACATCCCACAGCCTCCTCTCATTTCTGGTGTATTATAGAGCAATCATTCTGCCGTCCTGCTCTAATACGTGCAGCAGAGAACTTCACATGCCTTCTTCTTTCAAATATTATGTACCTCACATATACAAGTTTCCGTACGACTTTTTATGGTAAAAGTGAGAATAAGTGTACGATTTCTCAATGTGGCAACCTTATGTGCACTCAGATGATTCACACAGATGAGAGTAATAGTGACCGGCTAATGGCTGGTAATCCATCTAGAAACACTGTAGTATGGAGTGTAGAAGTAAGGAGTACCAATTCCCATAGTAGGAAGTTGAAAAAGTGGCCATTGTAAGCAGTAAATAACAGTTAAAAAACTCTCCACAACAGCTCTGGAGCAGTTACTGGGATGAAATGAACTTAGCAATTGTCGACGGTTTGAAGTGTGCTGCTAAACTGCTCAGTAGCTCTAAAATCTAAAATAATTTTATTTAGTAAATATAACTTCGTAAAAGTCGTCTATCCCACTAATATTTTTCGGCACGTTCTTTAAAATTTAGCCCGTAGATATAGTTTCGCCACCCTTATTTAACGGTTTTCTACTGACACTTTTTAATACACAGTCTGTACTCCTTACTTCTACACTCCATACACTGTAGTTTAATATCATAGACTATGTGCTGAAGGGTAGCACGGAAATTTCTCGCGAGTGCTCAAATGTGTTCTTTGCTCTGTGTATTATCTTTCATGCATTTTTATTTCAGTTGTCATTATTCCTTTGTTTATTCGAGCAAATTTTATTTAAAGAAATTAGATAATTATTTAAGTTAACAATTGTTATCACTATAAACCTTTTATTGGTGGTGGAAATCCTTGTCTGCCATGTTGTCTTTTTTTTATAAGATAGGTTGACAAACGAGCACTCAGTCCACCTGATTATAAGTGGTTGCTGTGGCCCATAGACATCTACATCTATCCTCGATTATGAATCAAAAATGCAGATGCGTTGTCACTCATGAGGACCAAGATGGAATGCCTCATTTACTGTAGGGTCGCCGGTTCTCTAAACTCACCATACTGTTACGAGCTTGAGGTTTGTGACAATAAAAACTGCCGATTGAATTACCAAAATTTACACATTACCGAACACCAATTAAAACTTAAAAGACACTAATAATTAATCACACTGATTCACTTTATTTCGCTCCGAAGCTTCGCTTGTCTCGCCAAATTCAATACTTCCCCGATCGTGGCATGCAGCAGGTTTAAACCCACCGAAACATCCAGAATATTTCCGTAGATACGGGCGCCGACCGACCAGACGCAGAAAGTTCGAGTGTTGGGCTTCTAGAAAGCTTAATTCTTCTGTTGGCGAGTCAGTTCTGTTTCTTCAGATGGCGCTGTTGGTAGAAAGTCAAGATTGGCATTTTCTTAGGAAGCCCTCCTCGCTCTTTTCCCCGACACTAGATGGCGCTTAGTGCCTGGTACCTGACGTCAACTTAGGCGCGCAACAATACGAAACAGCGGCATTAAGCTACTATTTTACGCTGGTATTCTGTGAGAGCGTGGTTCTTCCTCGGTTGAGCCGACCCATTCGTGCTACAACCATAATATAGCTGCAGCATGGCTCTACAATATCTAAAGACGTCTAAGTCTGGATAGATACCCCCTCTTACTTCTGATTTTAAATAGCTCCACCAGCACTGCTGCTGTTTCGGTCTGAATGGTATAGGGCCTGTATGACTACAAGCTACGAGGCATTTCATCTCAGTCCTCAGAGGTTACAATGCATCTGTAGCCTTTCTTGTTTGAAGTTGGCCGCAGGTGTTCATGAAATACACAGTAGTCACTTACCATTAAGGGGACTCTAAGTTCGTTAGTCACTTGAGTTCATTAAAAAAACAGTCTGCTATTGTACTTCTTCCATTGGTTCCATTCCAATTTTCAAAATTTTCCTAACACGTAAATATGCACACTTAAATATTAGGTTTATGAAATAAATATTTTTGACACAAACCTGCGTATCATCATTTAAATTGGTTTTATCATTTTTCTGCCCATCTTTATCTTTCTCCCTCTCCGATTCAGCTTTCACGTCCGCCTTTTTCTTCTTACGAGGTTTTTTATCCTTTTTCATACTTAAAAGTCGATACAACTCATAACCTATCATAAGTACACCACCCGTTGAAGTCCAATCCTAGAAAAAAAATTGAGTGTAATGAGATCTTACATATTCACTAATTATACCTCAGTGGTTGGTCATGTGTTCCATGTTTATTGTAATATTATTATTGGTAAAAAGAAATGTTTTAATAAATTATGTTACACAAATTAAAATAACATTTCTAATATTTTTCTGTTTTGAATTGACACTTAAACAGTTACATTTTCCTCATAACAAGTTCGTGTTGCATAAAATTTGGGAGCCAGTTACTTCCAGGTAGAGCAAGATATTCCTCAAAGTATAAGAAACAGAATAATACTTTAATGTTATTTTAAGTGGTTTAGAAATGTATAAATTATAACATAATTATTAGTACTAAAGTACTAATACATTACATTAAATAAATATTTGGAATGTGTTAATAAAAATATATTTATAATCAGAAAACACTGAAAAAAGTCTCATGAAGAGTATCCTTAATAAAAACTAAGTTTCAACTACAATTCATTTTAGTATGTTTTTTCTTCATAATCAAGTACGCGAGTATTTACTCAACTGCGGCAGGACGAGCGTAATGCTAGTGTATTTCGTATGGTAAGTGACCATGAGAGCCCTTTTACTGAAATCGAGGTATTCCATCTTAGTCTTCAGGGGTGACAACGCATTGCATTTTGATTCTTAATTGAGGATAAATTTGGATGTCTATGGGCCACAGCATCCACTTAGCATCAGGTGGACTGTGTGCTCATTTGTCATCCAAAATGGCTATAAATAAAATATGGTAAATTATATAATTTAACAACATTTTCTTACCTTAACAACTTTGGCACGCATTTGAAGTGTTTTATGACTGTCATTTAAAACATAAATAGGAAAATTACGTGGTCGCACTTCGCCGTGGGCTGCTAGTGGACTATTTGTTGCATCTAAAGGAAGCCACATATTGAATTCTGCTACCTACAATGCATTAATATTATAATTATTAATTCTAATTAGCAATTATGAAACTCGAAAAATATAAAACCCTATTTCAATAAAACTAAAAATAATAGAGTAACTTCCACATTATTAAATACTTATGAAATTGGGGCTACAGTTCTTTGATACAGTGTTAGCGCCTCGACCAGTTAGAGCGGATTAAATAATAATAAATACTCAACAACTAAAATGTCGCCTAAATATTTACATTAACAATTTATTTAAAAAATCACATACAAAAAATACAAATGAATAGAGAACCACTTCCTTTTTTGAAGTCAGCTAAAAACTTATTAATGTAAAATGATAGTTTACATAATAAATACATATACACGAAATACATTTTTGGGTATCTTTAAAGCAAAATGTTTCGGATTAATACATATATGTATCTGAAGAATATTGTTTCCAATGGGATATTATAATATGATGGATCAAAGCATATGATGGTCAGAATTCGATACGATGTACAATCAATGTATGTCATTTAAGGTGTACACCTAACTTTTGAAACACAATCTAAGCATGATATTTTACACCATATGTAAAATATTACGATAATAATAATACGAGGGGTCATCCAAAAGTGATGATAATCGTTTATTTCCAATGCACTTCTAGTGTTTGCTTAGACATAGATTCATCCACCATTTTGTTTCTGAAACCAAGCCATAATCAATGGTTTGGAAACGAGCCTCTTCACCGACGCCGTAGAAATTAAGTGTCAAGTTTGGAGAGAAAGGTTATGGGCGTCCGTTTTTTGGGACGCTGAAGGAATAATTGTAGTGGAATATTTGGGAAAGGGAGCCACTATTGCAGGCAATTACTACGCAGGCCAAATAGGAAGATTATGGGAGACTACTAAGAAAAAAGACGCAGCAAACTGCGAGCTGTAGTGCTGTTTCACCTAGACGATGATCCGGCTAACAAAGCATCGCAGTTGCGATGGCTGCCATTCAAGAAACGGAATTTGAACTGCTCGAGCACTAGCCCTATTCACCAGATCTAGCCCCTGTGACTTCTACCTATTACCTCGCCCCAAGGAAGACCTTCGAGACAAGAAATTTGCTGACGATAGTGAAGTAATGGACGCTGTTGAGGCTTTTTTTGAAGCGTCATGGTGGAGATTTTTTGTCTAAGGGAATTCTGGGTGAGGAAAAAAGATGAATTAAATTGCATTGACTTGTTAGACTATGTTGAAAAATATATTTTTTTTAACTACAATTACCGTGTTTAATATTCATTATCATTACTTTGGATCACCCCTGGTATTATAAAATTTTTGTATTATGTCTTCTTTTTCTTCCAATGCCAACCTCAATGGCATGTCTTGTACTCTGCAGTACAATTGACGGGCGCGGCTCTCGTGGTCGTATGATGTTGGAAAATTAATCCATAAATGTACAAAAATTGGACCAAACATGGTGAAAGTGGCCAAATGTTCCATATTTACCAAGATGGACAATCTTCTACAACTGGTTGGCCCATAATATTAGAAAACACTTCAAGAAGTTGAATCTTTTAAGGAAACCTTTCATGTTACACAAAAATGCTTAAGAGGATATCCAGGGCTGTTTAATCCAAACAAATATATAATGTTTACGTTTATCACTGCCAACTTCCTATATAACAGTTTTATACATAAATTAATTATTTTAAAACTAAAATTGTCCTGATCAGTTATACCGCTGCTATTAGTCAGTCCAAATATAAAAATTAAAGAAAAACATAGTCACAATCCTTTTTATTTTTTTGAAAACAGGGAAATATGGATGATAATTTCGTAGATTATTCACAGGTGTAATTGATCCCAGTTGCTGTTGTAATTCTCGGTTACTTAGCTCCGTTGTTTGGGCAAATTTCGATAATAATAGATCGTTAAAAACTTCGTCTTCAAATTTCTTCTAGCCCAGAAATCCTCATAAGAAACAAAATGTTCATAAAACATGGTAATGGCAAAACCTACCAACTAAATAAATTTTAAAATTTACTTCTAATCAAGGAAGAAGACTTCATCTACATTTAATTGTACAGAAAAAATGGAGGAGAAAAAATATGAAACATTATTAATTACCCAATTTTGAAGTGTATTAATAGGCATAATGCAAAGCACAGTCTTAGAGCTTGTGTGTCTCAGAAAAATATCACAGAAAGACACAATTTGCAATGTTTTTCCAAGACCCATGGAATGCGCTAATATACATCCAAATCCCGTTGATGTCGAAAATCGCTCTACAGATTCAATTATGTTGTCAAATAAAAAGCGGACCCCTCCAATCTGAAAATAAAACTATATTTAGACTTGAGCATTTGATCCAACTTCTTGGACTGCCTCCATTCTTATCACATCACATACACATCTTACATTGTGCGCGAGGTAGGTTGGGTAAGGTTAGAGGGGGAGTGTGTTCATGTAAGTTTCCGATAGTATTTAGGAATTGATGGCATAGTTGAATTGGTCCATTAGAACACTATCATAAATTAAGACAATGTCTGAAATAACTACCCACATTCTTAAGGCTGCAGTACACTCACTATTCGCGAAGTTCCCCGCCCGAAGTGTTACCCGAGGTCAGCCGAAGTACGAGGAGCCTCTGTACACACTCGCTCAACTTCGTGAGGAACTAGTCGCTCACACGCTAGGCGAAATGGAGGACGTACAAGTGGCAGCTGCGTATGATTTGTGCACTGTATTTTAACTATGTGCGTATATTTGGATGCAAAAAAATTAAAAAAGCTCCCATATTACCGTTTCCCCCTGGAGCATAGAGAGCTGCAGTTATATTAGTAGTGTAGTTGTAGCAAGAATAGGTTAGCTCGACCGGGGTAGGACCATGCTCTCACAGAATACCAGTGTAAAATAGTAGCGTAATGCTGCTGTGTTTCGTATGGTGAGTGCAGGGAACCGGAGACCCTTTTTATTGGAAAAAAGGTATTCCATCTTAGTCCTCACGGGTGACAACGCATCTGCAATTCGATCTGTAATCTAGGATAGATGTAGATTCTATGGGTCACAGGAACCACTTACCATCAGGCCATAAGGTGGACTGTGTGCTCGGTTGTCACCCCGTCCTATAAAAAAAGCAACTCTAAAAACAATAGTATTTGCTCTTGTGACCAATTCATTTTTAACTTAAGCAATTTGGATCGAATTAAAATGTTTTTAAATTAAACATCACAATGTTAACTTTATAGAAGTAAGCCGAGTAATGTACAGGGTCACTTCATGCTCAAAACTTCGTTCCTTTGACTCGGGCGGAAAAAACCGACAACGATCGGAAGTCACCCGAGGCGAGGCGAGGTTGCCCGAAGTGAAGCGAGGTTGCCCGAAGTGAAGCGAGGTATCCCTGTACACACTCGTCTTTACCCAACTTCGTTCAACTTTGCGAGTAGTGTACTGCAGGCATTATAGTTATTAGCTGCTCGAAGAAAGTTTGCCGATGACTTCCCCTCTCGCCTCCATCGACCGCGTACCGCGCTCGCCAAGTTAGTATCATTAACAAAGCAGTTGTGCACTTCCGTGTGCAACGTCTTTGAATTTATTGCTCCCGTACCGAAATTATTGTTTCTTGTTAAGATTTTGTTTGTTTTATGTTAGTGTTATTTTTTATCAAAATGGGGTAAAGGGAAATCCTATTGCGGTTGGGAACGTGTTTTAAAGGTTCTAACGTTTTTCGAGAAGGAAAAACAAAAAAGTTCGCCTATAATAAATCTTAGTAATAACTCCAACGTATTTTTTATTAATAATTATTCCTTTATTGATTTTTATTGTATTTGCAACCATTATTTTAGTAAAGTAAAGTTACAGCCTATATACGTCCCACTGCTGGGCACGGGCCTCCCCTTATTTCTGAGAGGGTTTTAGGGCAAGGAAGTGTCCGCCGCGCTGCCCCAATGCGTGTTGGCGAACTTCACATGTCTTCGAAATATTTTTTTCTTATTCCTCAGACATGCAGGTTTCCTCACGATGTTTTCCTTCACCGCCGAGCACGTGGTATATCAGCACTTAAAATTGCAGTTAACAATTTCATTGGTTCCAGCGGGGATCGAACCCGGGTTACTCGCGTTGGGTTATATTTACAGCGAGCGTTAACCATCTGAGCTACCACGGCTCTATTATTATATATACTATTTTAGTAATATGTATTTTTGTCAACCATACTAACCATTGACATGTGACGTCATGACATCATCTGCAAACTTTTTGCGCGCGGTTAATATAAGAAAAGTTTATACAGAGGATGCATTGCTATTGTGTTTGTATTTATGTCTCTGTAAAATAGTCTGTGACTTTCATTTTCATTTTTAAATTTTTAAACATACATATACATTACAAAAGCGGTAATCATAGCTTACGTAACGCTTAGAATAGAACAATACTTACTTGATGTGGTTTGATGACCCTCGCTATTTGTGGAGCTAAAAATATGTCTTCTTCGGTTTCCGGATGACCAATGTTAATTAAAACGCGACCTTGTTCATCTGGTGTATTATATGCATCATTTACATGTAAACCTATAAAAAAATGATATCAAAGTGATAAATACAGTATTACGTCGTATTACTTTATGAGGAAGAAACAATGCTAAATAAAAATAAATCATAATCGAAATATCTTTTGAAGAAGAATTCGTAGCCGTAGTCAGTGATGATGTGAAATAGCCTTACCAGTGTGATAGACCATGGCTTTGCATTCACCAACCTACAGCATAGAGTATACGCAATTCTTAAGAAATACACACCAGCTAAAGCATTTTTGGAAAGACCTATGACTAGCAGTGGACTTACAAAAATTAATGTTGAATTTTATACTCAAATTTTACCTGAATTAGCTGGATCATCTTCAGCTTCAGGACTCGGTGGAACTTCTGAATCAGATAACATTATACAATCATCGGAGTCTGATGATGAGGATGCAGTTTCTTCCCCACTACTACTGTCAACAATTTCAACCACCTGGAAATAGTATTTTAAACAAATTTGAAATTGATCACGAGAGAGTCAGAGTTCTTATAATATCCTACTCCTAAACTACTTGACCGATTTTAATCAAATTTGCCCACCGTGTGCAGTTTGGCCCAACTTGAGAGATAGAATAGTTTTTTTTCCCATGAGTGACCCACAATTTTTTGTAGAACAACGTTTGCCTGGCAAGCTAGTAATATATAAAAGTCAATATTTGTTTGTTCGTATTTAATGTGCTGCCATATTGTTCATCAGATTGCGGTAAAATTTTGTCAACATATTGCTTGCACTTCCGCGAAGGTTATAGGCATGGTATAATTAACTTTCAGCAGGTGGTGTGCATATCGTACCGACAAATTTATTTGAAAGTTATATATCATTCAATTTTAATGAACGTATTATCATTCCTAATTATACAATATAATTATACCATAGCTGTACAAAACTGTAATTCGGCACGTGATCTCATATCGCGCTCTGGTATGGTGGACTAAAACGAATTAAGCTACCACTATAAAGAAAATTCAGCGTAACCAGAGACTGGCATGTGTGGTTGCCGCAAATTGCGTAAGGACTACACCAACAACAGCCTTAAAAGCTATGCTGGAGCTAACCCCGCTTCATCTACACATACATACATCAAGATGCTAATTTAGCTGCCATTAGACTCAAGACCTTAAGTCTTTGGAGTAAGAGTAGTCTCTCATACAGGTATAATTGATAGAATTTACTCAATAATTCCTGCGTTAGAAGTCAAATACGATAAGACCCCAAACAATTTAAAACAATTTGAAAGTGAAACTAGCCAGCCGGAGTTATTAAGCCGAGAAAGGTTTAGTTTTCATAGATAGTTCTAAAACGAATTAAGGTGTAGGATATGGAACTTTCTCTGAAGACCTCAATATGCACATATATGCACTGCTGGGTACCCATAACACAGTCTTTCAGGTGGAAGTATGGGTATCATCCAAGCGGCCATAGCAATAGATGCTAGGAAGGTAAAAGACTTCTCCATCAGAATACTGACCGACATGTATCTATAACACAGAGACCACATTCACAACCTAACTAACTCTCTTACATAGGTCAAACAAAAAGCTCCATAAAAACCCACATGAAAGAACATTTAGCTGACGTAAAGCACCGACGCTCCGGGAAAAGTCTGTAGTCTGTGAACATGTTCAAAATCGTCCCAACCATTACATCAAATTTGATAAACCGCAAATCCTCGGAAAAGAACATCGATTCCTACCAAGGATGATTACGCAAGGTTATTGAAACTAAAAAACATCCTAATTTCAATAGAGAAGATGAATGGTTGCTGCCATTTGCTTGGGATCCTATAATTAAGAAAATTAAACCCAAACCCAAGCATACCACTGCAAAACTTCAAGATACTATAAGTTGGTTCTGCGTAGATCGGACCGAAAATTAATATTAAAAAACTGAAGGTAACTGGGCTAACTATGACATTGGGACATCTCAGTCCTCCCCGTGACCATGGGTGCTGTGAAGCACCCGAAACGTAGGGAATTAAAAATAAGTTAAACTAATAAGTAATAGTAAATTAGACGTGATAGAATCTGTCAATATAGTTTTATTCAAATTAATCTAAACCTTTTTTCAGATCAAAATCACAATATGGACAAAGGCATCAAGGAAGTATATTCATAAAAAAAATATAACAAGTCATTGTTAAATGTGTTGATTGTTCATTTTCATGTCAAAATATTGATTGTAATTAACAAGTAAATTATTATAAAAAAAGAATCCAACCCTGGTGATCTAACTAATATAAGATGATATAGCTCATATTCAATCTATACGAAGACATTTAAGTATTGGTACTAGACCGGACATCAGCAACAAAATTATTGCCTGTTATTTTTGTCCTATATCATATATTTCCGATTTTTGTTATTTAGTCTTAGTGATATCGTCAAAAGGTCAATACGCATTTGTTTCATAAATTTGAAAATTATTTTTAAAGTTAATATGCCCAGTTTTGCATCTAGATATTATAAATCAAGATATGGAGCAAAAAATGAATGTGATTTAGGTTTACTATCGTAAGAATAATGTACATTTACCAAATAATCTTCAAATTTTATTATTTCTAGTAGATTGTTCTGGAACATTTACTATTATTGTAATAAGCGTCCTCTGTTTATTTACCAATGTGTTAGTGATTGACAAAGTGCCTAAAACGGATTTGTACCTTATATTTAGTAGCGTCACCTAATGGGGAATAGCTAATATGTTTTTCTAACAAATATTCAGCGTAGTATTGCTATATTTCGCTAGAGGGCGTAACACACGCACGTGCTCACAGTTTTTGTATGCAAATATTCCCATTGTCCGCTCTATAGTATATATATTCAAATATCATTGGATCTATACTAATTTTATAACTTTTTAACGCATCAAGTTATTAAACAAGAAATATGTACAGATAAAACACAACTTTTAGCTTATGGCTGTAAAATTGTGTAGGAAACATCAACTTGATTTTGAGTCTTATTAGTGATATACAACTCACACACTATGTTACTCATGTTTCATCATCACCTTTTGGTTTTATAAAAAAAAAACTAACTTAGTTTTTATCCATCACACTGTTTAGGTGAATTATGTGTTATTTGTAACACATTAACTAAAATCCAGGAGTTAGGATTTTCCAGGGTATAATGAATCCGACATGCATACCCAATTATGCATGAAAAGAATAACCCTGTGATAACTGTCGCACAGTCAAATAAAAACAAATTTATAATATTTGTACATACCTCCTTTCTCTCTGATTTTTGATCATGTTTTCCTATTTTTTGTGGAAATAATGATCGAGAAGTTGTGGGTTTTGAGACTTTAGTCACCTCTACCTGTCCTTGCTTTAGAGTAGTCTTTTTCACTTCTCCAGAGGGTAACTTCACTAATACTGTGTTGGGTAAACTAAAAATAATTATAAGCATTACTAGTATGCCAATTATGTAGTAATTAATGTCTTTTAAGTTATTAAATACATCATACTTTAACTTTTGTCCAGGACCAGACTTCTTTAACAACGAGGAACCACCTTGTAGTAATGACAGGGTTTTCTGATGTATTTTATTTTGTCTGTTTATTGCAATTTGTTTTTGTACCTAAAATTCAAAATATACAAAAAATTTATCTTGCACACATCATCACAAAAAACAATAATAATGTAATATTTATCTTATTAATAAACTACCCATTTTAACCGACTCAGTGCGGATGGCACACCAGGCGTGCCATCGATTATTTTTATGTGTGGCAATGAGTGCTATTATTTGCTACTTATTAAGAGTATTTTTCCACAACAAGATTTAAAAACACACTCAGTAAAATGAGTACCATCTACAAGTTAAAAAAGGTTGCCAACCTCTAAAAATTCAAATTCTCAAAACATTGAAGCTGTAGACATGAACTACTTGCAAAATAATAAATATTTTGTTCCAGATAAATCTTCCAAAGTGGCAATTTGAGCGAGTTGTAAAGATTTTTAAAATACACAACTCGCATCTCACGATATATTTGTTCCCCCCACAGCTAAGTTGTCGAAAATTGATGCCACAATGAATCGGTTAATACACCATATGAACATAAATCTCATACTAACCTCTCTGATGATTCTCTGTTGTTCTTGAACACGAGCTAAACGCTCAGACTCTTGCCGTTGTGCTGCTAAGGTTGAGGCATCTAAATTTTTCTCATCCATTACTTCTCTAATATTTCTTCTTACATTTAATGCATTGACATTTGTTATTTTTTTCTGAAATGCATTTTTTCGGTATCAATATAAGCCAAAAAATATATGTCATATTGAACACTCTTAAATATTGATCAATATGCTATGAGGGGACTAAATCTTCAATGCAAATGTCATTAAAGTCTAATTTGAAACATGCCAGCACCAATGAAGTTGTTAGTTACAATTATTTTAAGTGTTGATTTATTATATGATAGTGATGAAGGAAAGAGAATCATGAAAAATACTGCATGTCACAAAAGGAAATATTTCCAGGATATGAGATGTTCGTCAACATGCAATGGAGCAGAATGATTGACCGATTGTTACAATATTTTTTAGGACAGTCGCCTTTCATAAATAGTAAATAATGTTCAGAAAACACAATTAGTCAAGTAAACAAAAACAATCATTTCCAATACCATTAAAAATAATTATAAGATATGTTAATTAGAATTTTGAGATCAAAGAAAAATCCAATAAAATGATACTCAGAATGTTAAATACATAAAAATATGCATCAGTCTAAAAATGTACATATTAAGTTCCTTATAACCCTCTTAGTAATGAGAGAAGGCCTGTGCCCAGCAGTGGAACATATTTAGGCTGTAACCTTAATTTTTTTTTTAAATTTGCCTCAGATGTTGTGCTTAGAAGGCAGAATGAAAATCGTAGTATCAAACATATCATAACTTTTATGTTACAGTGTCATACACATGAAGATAGTTTACCACCATATATCGGAATTCATGAGATTTTTCTTACATTTTCCATAACGGCACATGGATAGAATGGGTAGGTCTTATATTTACACAAGCTACACATTAAATAAAACCAACTTTAACTATTTTATTACATTTAATTTTAACAAATTAAAGAGATAAAATGCAAAAAGTTGGTTTCATTTGCTGGATAGATCCTCTAACTCATACCAAAGAAAAATTGACTAAGAAAATGCCAATTAATAAACAATCTTCAATTACACACTGTAAGATTTTTTTTTTCAATTATTGGGCTCTAAATAATTATACATTCCCCAGAAAGATGGGGAATGTATATTGTACAAAAAGGTCCTAGAAAATGTACATGCTCTATTTATCAATAGGTTTAAAATCTTTATTAATACAAACCTAGATTGTTGATATTGAAGAATATATTGACAGTGAAAACAAGTAAGACGAAAGTTATGGTTTTTGAAAGAGAAGAAAGTAAAATAATATGTGAAATAAGAATAGAAGGGGAGTTGGTCGAGCAAGTAAAAGATTTTGTATATTTGGGATGTGTATTTATCAGGTATGGAAGGTATGATAAGGATATAGAAAGACGAGTGAACCCAGGAGTAAATGGGGCTCTACATTCTATTTTGGAATGTCAGAATGGGTCCAAAATGCACATATGGCAATTCACAATGCTGTGTGTGTCCCTACTTTAACATATGGTAGTGAAAGTTGGGTGTGCAGAAATGCGAGAGTAGAAAAAACGCAATAGAAACATGGTCATTAAGGAGTATGTTAGGGCTGAATCTCAATGACAGGGTGAGAAATTGTGTGGTTTGCAAGATGATGTTGTGACCAGGGTTAAGAGATGTATGCTTCGGTGGTTTATTTATGTAGAAAGAATGAATGAGGAATGAGTAACAAAGCAAATTTATGCTGCAGAAGTGAACGGCAGAGTTGGAAAGGAACGTCCTAGGCGATAGTTTATCAATCAAATTGGCTATATATCAAAACTGGGTCAAATTAAGAGTACCCTTAACCAACATGCATTTATACACAGGTATATAGAAGTGGAGGAGGCGAGAGAGGTGTGTCAGGATTGTGCTAAATGGAAATCTGTAGTCTCTGCCTACCCATTGGATGACAGGCATTAGGGTTTATGCAATTATATGTACATATTATGACTGTTTCTGAATATTTCATTGTACATTATATACTTTGTAAAAGTCCCACTAGGTCTTTTTTCAGAACAAAAAATGTAAAAGCATAATCGAATTTGAAAAAGTAGTATTTGATATGTATATTGAAAAAAAAATGAGTAAAGGTGTAATTTAAATTATCAACTAATAATTTAAATTACTGTTTCTTTTAAAAGCAAAATATAACACAATATGAAGGTTGCCAGTGATCACATATGGAACTGAGACGTGGTCCTTCACTGCTGGCCGTATGAGGACGCTCAAAGTCGCTCAGCGAGCTATGGAGAGGGCTATGCTCGGAGTTTCTCTGCATCATAAACTTAGAAATGAGGATATCCGCAGTAGAACCAGAGTGACCGACATAGCCCAACGGATTAGTAAGCTGAAGTGGCAATGGGCCGCCCATATAGCTCGAAGAACCGACAACCATTGGGGAAAATAGGTTCTCGAGTGGCAGCCTCGTATCGGTAGGCGAAGTGTAGGGCGACCCCCCACTAGATGGAGTGACGACCTGGTAAGACATACAGGAAGTTGATGGATGCAGGTGGCTCAGGACCGTGCTTTGTGGCATACCTTGGGGGAGGCCTATGTTCAGCAGTGGACTTATGAAGGGCTGTAATAATGATGATGATGATGAAGATTGGGAGATTTGCATCATACTGTAAAAATGTAGAATTAAGATAGTTAGGCTGCTTAGTAGCCCTAGTGGCTAAGCATTGGTTGTAGCACTGCAGGACTGCAATTTGAATTCTGCATGAAAGAGAAGTTAGTATATACAAATTTTTTTTATTCTCTATATTTTGTTCCTTATTAACATTACAGATGGTTCCGAATCGAAATCCCAGCCATACCAATGTTTGTACAAAAATAAAAATTTTAAATATTTAAATAAGGGTGTTCAATGATCACGTCAATATACTACCCTGCCTTCTGATCTACCACTTTACTTACTGTAGAAGTATTATGTAGAGAACATGTAGGTTTTCTTTTTCAATATTTATTGATTATAAAAGGTTTGATCTACTAGACTGCATTCCCCTTGTAGGTATCAATCAAATTCACATAATCAGACAATGATAATTTTACACATATTATAATAATTATCTAACCATACTAATTTATAAAGTTTTCTAGCCTTATCCAACAGGTAGGTTAAGATGAGTTTTCTGTATTTACTTCTTTGTTTATTGAAAAATCTCTCTAATACATAGAGCAAGAAGTAGAAATATATGATCAAATACTTTGAGTTATAAAATATAAGCTATAAATAAGTATTTGACAATAATATAACAGTAGAACCTCTGTAAGTTGCCCCTTGATATGTCGAAAACCTGGTCAACTCGAAAAAAATTTATGTCCTCTTCAAGCCTCAAAACTACCATTACTCAAAATCTCAACTCTCTATATGTCGAAATAATCAGTGTCCCTACAAGCCTATAGCCGCATACACACCTAGGGCACGAGCTCGCGCGGCAGCCTTGGTATTTTTGTCTGGAACTCAGGGACAAGCCTCACGAGGCAGGCCGAGCCATCATAAGTCCCTGAGCATCCGAAATGGATAGTTGTGTAATTACAGCTGCAGCTACTCTCTAAGTTGCTTTTTGTTCAAAAAAAGAAAACAGTCACATTTTAAGAAAAGACCTAGACGCTTCTGGATTAGAAAAATTTATGAATGTTGCAACCAATATGGAAATAAATTACTTAAATATTTAACATATGATCAGATTGTACATTCATCGAATTAAATAAATATTATTATAGTGTATTTTCAGTAAAACTAAAACAAAGACTATAGTATCACCTCGCAAGCCAAAATACCACCATACACACCAAACAAACAGCAATTACCGAGGCACCTTTGAGCGCGTCTAGTTTACCGACAACATATGACTCGCGGTCGAGCGGCCGAGGCAATGTATGCCCAAGGCACGTCCACACCAGCCGAGGCATTTGACTCACGAGACTACCAGGCGAGCCCGTACATTAGGTGTGTACGCAGCTAAATTTAGTACAAAATTTTCTTCCATAACTTGAAAAAATAAATTGGTCCTCTATATCTCAAACATAACAGTGTTTAATTTTACTTGATAATTTGAAACTAATTAACTCTATTAACTCAAAGGAAAATAAAGTAACTTAAAGAATTTGCGGACAATGTATGTCATTGATTTTTAGAAAACATTGTGAGAATATACAATATATATGATTACTAACACTATGAAATAATAAAGGAATTTAAGGCCTCAAAATTAATTAGAACAAATCTACCACTCTACAAGTCGAATTATAGCTTACATAATCTCTAAGTCAAAAATTCTATAACTCAAATTTATTGGCATCTCCCTTGAAGTTCGACTTACAGAGGATTTACTGTATAACCTACCATTCACAGAGCTAAATGCATCAATTTAAATAGTTAATTGTTCTGGTAAATATAAACAGTTGGGTCATATTTTCATAATTATCTTATGTCCTTAATATTATAATGCTTACCTCATCCTCAGTTTCTGACTTTTTCTCAATCTGCACAGAATTCACCTCCTCATTTATCTTTTTATCAGTAGGTTGAACTTCTTTACTTTCCATTTCATTTACTTTATTAGTTATATCTAAGTCTTGGCTAGCCTCTTCTTGTTTAATATTCAACAATTCTCCTGGGCTTTTATCTGAACATAACTCACTTGTTTCCACTTCTGCTATCTCAACATTTTTTGACAAGTCTATATCACTCTCATTAATTATGTCACTAATTGAAAGTGTTTTTGGTTCCATTTTCTGTTGTTCAACATTAATTTTATGTGCAGCATGGTCCGGACTTAATGATTTCTGTTTTGATTTCTTACATTCCAAAATATCTCCTGTTTCAGGATCAATATAACTTTCATTTTCTTCTTCTAACTCCCGCACAGCATTAGGATTAACAACAAACTCTTCCTCCGACAAACCATCACTATCTGATTCACTATCTTCACTAGAAAAATCACTTAGTTCTAAAATATTGTTTCCTACTAAACTACGAATTCTTATTCCAGTGTCTTTTTTTAATTTTTTAGTAAAGTCATGAAAATTTTTCACTGCTTCCAATTTTCTTTTGTTGCTCAGGGGTCTAGGCCGTGGTGGAGCACGCCGACGAGGGTTCATAGCTGCCGCTTGTGCATAGTGAGCACGTTGAATTCTTGCGATTGTTTCATCGTCTTCCCCACTGTCCCATATTTCTTCTTCTGATTCCTCTTCCCTACTTTTAATTTTGCTTCTTACTGAAGCAGTGCCACCAGTATCACCCATTTTTAATGAGAGATCTTTTAAAATTAACCAGGATTCATTTTATTAGCATAGCAAATCATCAGCTTCCAGAGAAAATATTTTTAAAAGTAAGATCTAAAACAAACATATTTATAACAATACATTTACAGCATAAACATTTGCTAGTCGTTAAAAATGAATTACTTGAGCTACAAAAAAATCTTATTTATGACATTTCTTTGTATCTTTTGCACGGGACGCTGTATGGAAATGAAGAGAAAAGAAGCCGGATGACACGAATATTCACCGTACAAACTCCCTCCCATAAAAAAACAACGACCACTTAATAACTTTTGTCTTATAGATATTAGTTATCGCTTACAATTAATATCTGCAATTAAATTTTAGGAAGCCATTACTTCCGCAATAAATAGTATTTGCCTAATAGACATTTATACATATATTTTGTGTATTCGACAAGCGTGTTTACAAAAATTGTTAGATATTATAGATAATTTATAATATCAACTCTAAATGTGCTTAAAAACAAAGTATGCATTTGCGTATCAATTTTATCAAAACAATCTACAAAAAGTACAAGGATATTTCGGTAGATAGCAAACGAAAATAGTCTTTATACATGTAACATGCTAAGGTGAAAGTTTATAGCACTTATTTTGTGTAATGGCAATGATGTAAATTATTGTGGGTTGTCATTTATTTTTTCATCTATGGTATGCACAGATCACTATATACTAGATGGTATGCCAGAATCTACAGAAACATACATAATAAGATGTCTTGCCACGAATATTCGGTTTCTATTCGGTATTCGGCATATTCGGCAACTTTGTTTAATATTCGGTATTCGGCCAGATATTATGAACTATTCTCCTGAATACCATATACTATATCATGGGAAAAAAGTCACAAATATTACTCAAAAATGAATATATTATTTTACCAAAAAAAACATTATGATTAATAGGTACCTACTTAAAATGTATCAGAGGTAAATTTAAGTAAATGAAAACAGTTTTTTCAACATTTGCTTAAAGCATTCGATTGCGCTTTTATTTATAAACTATACCCGCTTCTGAAAATAACCTCTCACTGTATACATTACTATCGGACGACGATAGACAATTTTGTCAGTTGTCGATACTGTTGAACGTTTGTTGACCACCACTTGTAAGGACAAGGGTCTAATCCGATCTAGGCGTGCCGTTTTTAGATAAAAATCAATCTCATTTGCAATAGCCCTTTTCTTTTCCACATTCTCATCTTTCTCCATATTTTCTGTAGCGACTTCCTTAAACCAATTCTAGAAACTGTTGCCGACCGTAGCGGCGAATATTCCAGAAGTTCAGTAGCCAAATATTCTGTCAAAGCGTGACCGGATCTTCGATATTCGGCAAATTCACTATTCGTAGCATCTCTAGTAATTACATACATACATCATGCATATTACGTGGTATCTCAGCGGCTAAGCACTCGCTGTAAATTTCAACTGAGAAGGGTTGATCCGGCAATAAAAGTGTTAATTTAAATTTTAAGTGCTGATTTACCACGTGCTCGGCGGTGAAGGAAAACACCATGAGGAATTCGGCATGTCTGAGAAATATGAAAAAAATAAAAAATTTGAAGACATTTGTTCAAAAATATTGTTTAAAAGTTTGTGACGCTATACTCCACCAAATCTAAGAAATACCTTTTGACAGCTGTCACCTGTCACATATACTGGACTAGGCATTATTCGATTCTTAAGAAATATCGAATAAGATTCTAAAGATAGATAAAAAATTATCTAGATTTAATACCAGAATAAAGAAACAGACAACTTAAAACAAATTGCTTAGCAATAAGCAATAAAAAATCTAAAGTTTTATATATTAAAGCTTTGATTAGAGATGAAAGAAAGGACGTGACATAAAGATAGTTAGGTGTAGGAATGTAACGAAATATCGGCGTCTTTTTTTAGCTTATGAGTATATTCGTATGTAAAAAAGGACAACAGTAGTTTTATCATTACCGAATATGGCAACAACTTTTACGCTGCGGCTGGGCGCCATGTTTTGTCACAGTCAATGACAACTATATCAGTTCATCAGTTGTCATTGCGACTTTAGTGAGGTGAGTGTGTTATTTTTATATGTTTCTCTCGTGGAATTCGATTATTACGGAATTTCTCATTTTATTCCTTGAGACTTCTAAATCGGGATAAAAACCATCCTATATGTTAATTCAGGTAGTAAACTATTTGTGTGCCAAATTATTACATTCAAACTGGTCTGATACTTTTGGCGTGATTGAGGAACAAACAAACATTTAAACCTTTGCATTTATTATAGTTCGATTAGTGTGAGTATGATGAGTGAGCCTAATTTACTGTCTAACAAACAAACAAAAATTCTTTAATTAGTATTTCTTATTAAGTAATTCCCGGGAAATAATTGTAACATTAATAATAGATGGCAACATCATAAAAACAAAACAAAAACGACTGCTTAAAAGTAATGAACTGAAAACATAGGTGTAACTTATAATATATTTCATTAATCTCCTTTTTAAATCCTTAATTTTGATACCCCTATCGATAGGTTGAGTAAACAAAATTAAGGACTTACAATTTGGCGCCAAAAATCCGTCATATTGATTTTAAAAAATCTATCTAAGAACACACGGGTGTTTGAGACGAATCACACGAAAGAGTCTTTTTCTAAATAAGCGCCACATTACCGATAATAAATATAGTGAGCAGCACTACGTCAAGCCGCCATCTTTGTACCAGACTCCTTTCTTCTCTAGTCAAAGCATTAAAGGCACTAGATTAAAAATAAATTAATTATATCATTAATACCACAATTAAGGTTAATAGAACTGTCGTTGCCATCATCATTGTTTACATTATTTGATTTTGTATAATGAATTCTATGTGAATGTCTCTTTCATAGTCATCCATAACATTTTTTTTTGTTTATCCATCACTTTAGGCCGGTTATCGGATAGTTGGCAAACTATGACCGTTCACCTTTGCCCACGTGCACGGGTCATATTTTGTCCACGTGTATCGTACAGTGTGGTTGGCGCTTAGCCACGTTTCATCAATTAATATAACGTTGTTTCAATAGGATATATGTTTAATTTCTCGTAAAACGTTATTCTTTGCATTCATGTCTCGAAATAATTATTTTGCATTTCCTTTTGCAAGCTTTTTAAGGTGGTTGTTAATGACTCTATACTACCATTGTTCAAGCTGACATTGCATAAACTTAGTCGCAACTTCGCAATATTCACAGAAATTATAAAAAAATAAACATGTTTAATTCACGAATCATATATTTCATGCAACTTTTATATATTATTATAGTAACAAAAAATAATTAAACAAATAATAAATTAGGAAATGTATAGTTCGATGATTTGAATATTTTACGGATTATTCGTGTTAATATGATTTTGAATCATCCAAATACTACGGTAAGGTGCATAATGACATATTATTGAAACAACTTCAAGCATAAACGTTGATTCTGATTATTTTTTATATCTTACTTTGTTTGAAAGATCCTAATTTAAATTACTTATAAATAACAATACAAAATATTGTTTTGAAATATAGATTACTTCATAATTCTTTGAATTTACGTAAAAAGTTATTTTTAATCATCTAAGTACGCTTGTACAAAGTTATTGCAGAATGATTAATGTGAAACTTCAAAAGGTATTTCTAAGATTTGGTTGAGTATAAGAAGTTTTCACTTCTTACGTGCAATCCTACGACTAACAGTTGTTTTTTTTTTATATAAGACGTGGCAAACGAGAAGGCCAAGCATTTCATCTCAGTCCTCAAGGGTGAAAAAGCATTTGCATTTTGATTCTCAAGTGAGGATAAATGTAGCTGTCTATGGTCCACAGCATCCACTTATCATCAGGTGGACGGTGTGCTCGTTTATCAAAAAAAATGTGGTTCACCTGTTGGTAAATGTCAACCGCCATCCAAGGGATCAACAGCAACACCAGTGGACTAGGCTATTTTACAACATTTAAAAAAATCAAAAAAATATATATTTATGATAGATTTTGTAAAAAGTAAACGAGAAATATTGATTTCTATTTATAAAATTGTATTGTAAATTTTATATTTCTAGTTTAAGATTTTTTTGTCTGTGCCTCAAATCTACAAAACACTATCCGAAATATTATATACTGCCGTGACGTCACTGATCCCCCCCAACGTCGACAGAGAAACCTATAGACAAATTGACGCCCTCTTTTGCATTCGCACACGAAATCTTGCATAGAAATGAGACAGAGCGGTGTGATTATTTGTCCCTTTCTCCATGCCGGTTTTTTTGTTTAGCAAACTACACTTTGCTAAACAACTTTGACAGTTCGTAGCGATAAGGAGGAGGAGGAGAGATAAGCTAAGGAGAAGTTGGTTTAAGTGAGAAAAAGTGTTTTGTAAGCTTAAGATTGGTGAATCTTGTTCAGTTCAGTTCTTAGAACAATTAAATTTTTTATCTAAATATGTTTAAAAGTCATAAAGGTTATTGTATAACCTAAAACCACGTTATCGTCCTTTCTCACTCGAGGCCACGTTAATCATTAGTCTATAGGTTTCTCTGTCTACGCCTCCCAAGGATATTAGCATTAGTGTTCTGTGTTACTGATTAAGAGAACTATAGTCTGATTTTTCATTCCGTAGAAATCTGACAGCTACCATTTTTTGACATGTTAGAGATTACAAACCTTTTTGGCCGGGCACATTTTTCAATTTCAATACGAGTCTGAACATCAGAGTCTATACATACATTTTATTTGTTAATGAATGTATCCATTTTATTAAGTGCGGTGCTCCACATTAAAAATGGTTTTACGGTGAGTGATAATTAGGTCCCTTTTCATCACAAACAGTAAAAAACGCACAAGTAAAGATATCATATTTTTATTAAAATCTCTAATCATCATTAATAATTATATCACTATCTTCATCATCATCATCATCATCGCTGACATGAATGATTAAAGAGTCTGCGAGT